GGTCGGTTTCTCTCTCTCTCTCTCTCTCTCTCTCTCTCTCTCTCTCTCTCTCTCTCTCTCTTCCCTCTCTTTCTTCCTCATTTTCTTGCGAAGATATCGTGTCCATGTGCATAAGTATTCTCTTGTCTTTTGACAGCCTAAGCAGTTACCTCATTTTCTACGAAAATTTATTACAAAGCGCTCTCCGAGGTAAGACGATGCTTTAGTCATGAAGAAGATAATCGAAAGCTCCAATTGCAAAAGTATTTCCTGTAACTGTATTCGAGCATTCTTCGTGGTACGCTAAATATTGGATTACATCATTAAAAGATAAAAATAAGATTTTTGTTTGGAAATATTATTCCAATAAGTGAAAGAAGTAGACAGGGAAAGAGAGAGGGAGAAAATTGTCATTTTTTATTTTTGCAGCAAAATCATTATATCATTCTTGCATCACCGGAATATACTTGTCGCAATTGTTTCGATATCGAAATGTAAATGGCACCAGCGGAAATTGTTAATTTACACTCGCAAATATATCCGTCAATACACACTTTTCGCAATTCGTGAAAGGATGTTTTGGCCGGCTGCCTGCAGTTGTTTACAAAACCAATAGTCATCCTGAATGCGGGATAAAGTGCATTCGCGCATTGCCAAAGAGTGAAACAGTGCAGTGAATGGAAGTATCTAGGTGAACATTTCTTCTTCGTTTCTAAGCGCCGCCTAAACACATTTGTGTTTACGTCATCGGAATGTATTTATTGGATTATTTCTGGATCGTTTTCTCGCAGTACTTATTTTTCTTTAAAATAATTTTTTGGCATACTTTAATCGTTAATTGTGTTAAAATAATTGTACAACTAATATACTTTAATCATTAATTGATTATACATACATGTAATAATTGTACATTAATAATTATACATTAATTTAATTATAGATTTGTATCATTAATTGTTTCGAAAAAATTGTACAGTTAAGTGTTATACAGAATATATTTATGATTAACTGAAAGATAATTCTCTAATCTTTATTCGTACATCTAAAAAATTTATTTTTCCGCAATTCATTGCTTTCTAGCGATTCAATAACTCAAAGATTACCTACCTCGAAATTTTCATTCAGAAGTAATCGTTTCCGTCCTACATCAACGAATACCGTGTATGAAGGATCGATATACTATTAAAGCAGAAGTACCTCATAAACGACTTCGCAGAAGACGAGGCGGCCAACTCCAAACTTGATATAGTAGTTTGCCGTGACGCGCGTGCGCATGTCCCACCTGCAAATAAGTCGACCAAGTATGTTTTCTTTTAAATGCGCGTATCGGGTATCTCGGGAATTCCCCGCGTTTGACAATATTTGCAAACGCGGTATTTAAAAAAAAAAAAAGTTTGCAAAGTTAGATTGCATGTAAATGAGCGCGAAACGATGATCGTTATTGCTCGTTATGATCTTCGAACACATTAAATAAATGCCAAACGTGGAGGAAGAAGGCTGCGCGAGGAAACCTCCACGCGAACAATCCGCGAATGACTCTCTTCGTTCCTTCCGCTTCTGATTAACCGCGTCTTTACGTAATTTACATTCGCATGCGGAAGGAACTCGTAGTCGAGACGAGGCTTGATCGTCCGCCGGCGAGAATAATGACTATTCTCTTTCGGCGCGTAATTGCGACGTGCAAAGTATACGTTTTTTTTTTTTGTGTAATAACAGCCACCGGGAATATCGCGTTGGCATATTGCATCGCTTTTATCGATTTGCAACGTAAGGCCGGCGTCGTTAATTAATTCCCACATGGATCGCGCGCGGTCAAGATTCCACGCTGCAGGTTCGCGCACGCGGACGCGCCGCGCGGAATATGGGGATGCACCACGGTCTCGCGTGCCACCGTGAAATTATCCCGCTGCGCGATATAATAACGTACGGCGATCAGACGTTGCATAATTGCATCTTGCAAAGTCGCAAGTTCAGACGCGTGGCGTAACGTTATACCATATTCTCTCACGCCCGTTCTTCATCTCAAATCCGATATTCCGTAATACGTTACGCGTATACCGCGCTCGCGCGCGCGTGTCCAAATGTCTAGATCCTCGCGGCTTTCTCGGCGGACGTGCTTAAAATAGAAAAAAAGATCGTTGTGCGCGCACTTGTCCGAAGCGCGATAAGACGCCGTGTGCAGCCGGCAGGAACTGTAGTGCACTAACCCGTTGCGGATATCAGTGTATCAAACGACGCGTACTGAGGCGGCATACCGAGCACGCGCGTAGGCTGTCGCGCTTATCTCTCGCCGCACGTTGCAGCGTTTCGGCGAACGGATTGTTTACGTCATTTACGAGCTCGTCGGAAAACATCGTGAACTCTTTTTGCGAAAGTAAAATGACGTGCCTTCGGAAATTTCCAACTTATTGAAAGTTAATTCTTTCATAACGTATACACGGAAAGAACAATTTTGCTGAATCCAGATCTGAAAATAATTTTTGTTCAATAATCAAAATAATTTTGTACGAAAGTCAAAGCGATTGCTAGAATATTAAAACGTTTTATAGCAATGCTCGTCAGCTTTAACATTCCAACAAATTATTTTGATAATTCAACAAAAAATTATTTTCAAATCTATTTTTAGACCAAAATTTTTAAACCTTTCAACAAAATTGTTCTTTCCGTGTACTACAACGACCGATTTTGCTGGCAGATGTAAAAATATTGCCAGATACAGATCTGGAAATAATTTTGTTGGAAACTCAACAAAAATTATTAGCGCAAAAAAAATAATAGGCCAAAGACGAGCAAATAAATCTAATGGATGTTCGGTAAATTATTTATTCACGCAATGTATCGCGATACTAATTTCAGCCTGACTATAGACCTTTTTCAATCGCATTGAATTTGGACACAAAAAATAAATTACACCATCGAGAAATTCTTGTGAAATTCTAGCAATCAATTTGAATTTCCAACAAAATTACTTTGATGGTCCAACAAAATTATTTTCAGATCTGTATCTACAGCAAAATTTTTAGATCTTCCCAGCAAAATCGTTCTTCTTTCCTTGTGCGTCTTTTTACATGACGCTTTTCGGTCGCGCGATTTAAAAGGGAGAAAACAGATTGAAAAGTTACACAACGAGAACTTGCTGAAAGCTGCATCACTTTCCTTTTAGCGCAGAGTCAAGGTTCTTTCTCAAGGCCCTCCTTTCAAGTAATCGATTTCGATTCGTATCACGTAGTATATAGTAATGATAATATTATTACAGCGCGCAGTATCTAAAAAGTGTCGAGTGTTATGTCAGCAGACAATACCACTTCCTTGACGCATTTATACATATCTTCTTTATACAGACAACTTTGAAAACATAATGTGTTGAAGCTTTCAACTTGTCCAACAATCAAGGATTCTCCAAGAACTAGTGGCCAAGAACATAGGTCGAGGATGCGTGAAATTATACTATGATTAACATACGCGACGGAATAAATTTTTTTGTTTCTTTTAGTTATTTATTATTCATAAAGAAAAATGATGTTTATTAGATGGTACAGCACTTATACTAGCTTTTTGTTATATTTTTTCAACTTTAATAGATATAATGTATACATATACTGTATGTTTCACAAATTCTTTTCGCGCTTCTTAGTACAAATAATCTATATATAAAATACAAAATTTAAATATATGTTAATTATATATAAAATATGTCCATACACGAAAAGAGCGATTTTGCTGGATCTAAAAATAATTCTTGCTGGACAATCCATCAAAATAATTTTCCATCAAAATAATTTTGTTGGAAAATCAAATCAATTGCTAGAATATCAGAATATTTTACTGCAATGTTTATTATTTCTAAGTATCCAACAAAATTATTTTCAGATCCAAATTTTTTGACCTTCCAGCAAAATCATTCTTTCCGTGTACATATATATTTTCTTTCTCTTGTACAATCTCTCTTTGTATATATAATATAAAAAAAAGATATATATAAAAAAGATATATATAATATAAAAAAAAGCAAGAATAATTAAAAAATAATTCAAAAAATAATGTATTTTGTTTTTTTTTGTATAAAAAGTAAATTTATATTATACAATAATACATATGATTATTATACATAATGCATATATAATTTTATATACATATGTATAAGCAATTAAATATAAAGAATTTTTTCTCATTTCCACGAACTTTAGTTTTTAAAAAGCAATGCGAAAATTATTTAAAAAATTTTTTTTATTATTTTTTGTATATCTATACTATATGAACACTATAAATAAAGATTGTAAAAAATATATATTTATATAGAGACATATTTGTACATACATATGTATTTATTTGATTATATATAGATTTTTATTATCGGTTTCTTTTATTAATTTAAAATAAAAATAAAACCGTTTAAGAAATGAATACCTAATGTATTGATATGATGAATAATAATCGACATTTGATAGATTGATAATTTATAATTAACACATTTAACAATTTATGACAGTCTCTTATATTCTGTATTTATCTAATATCTGTTTAATGAAGATTTTATTAAACAAATGCGATGATTTTAATTATATGCAATACTGTACAAATGTGCTGCAGTTACAGCTTGAGAGCGCGGAATAACTCTCTGGCCACAGAATGACTTCTTCGAATGTTTCCGATAACGTAGCTGAGTCACGTTTCCAATGATTATCCTCGCGAACGTGACAAGGCCGATGAAGATTTTTATTCCGCAGTCTTTGTATAACTAATTGTAAGTCAGTTAGCTGCGTCACTGCATTCATAATGCATTAATTAACTAGTATTACAATGAAAAGTAAAAACTAGTCTCTTTTATCGATTTACGCGATGAACTGACAGTGTCATTCGATTCTTTGCAAGAGTTAGTTGTTTCTGCTCTGCTACCGTTTCCAAAATATTAGAATATACATTGCGTATTGATTAGTGTGATTATTGTCGGCACATCAAACGTATGTTACAAACAATAATAGATTTGCTTTAATTTAATACTTTGAATAAAATATACAATATAAAATAAAAAAAAATAGATTTGAAGAAGAATAGGAGGTTTATATGGTCAAATTGAAGGAGAAAATTGTAACTTTATTTCAGGAAAAAGAAGAAATGGACACAGGTAACAGTTTAAGTATTATTTACCGTTATATTTAAAATGCAGAAAATTAATTTATAATGTAAAACTTATTAGACCAATAAGAGTTTTTGTAATTGAAGACGAATCCAAAAACTTTGAATATCTCGCATTTTACTATAATTCTGTAATTTTTTTCGAAACAATTACTATTTTTTGGTCTAGGTTTTCTTTGTTCTACAGATTGAACTTGAAATAAACCATTAGAAAAATATAATTACAAAATGATAGTAATATAAACGTAAAATTTTAATTTTTGCGTAAAACGTTATTGATGCGTTACCATTTTGTAATAACATGTTTCTAACGTGTGTTTTAAATTTAATCTCTAGAGCAAAACTTACTCTGGGAAAAATATATTCAGACCGCAAAATAATAGATTTCTTTTTTAGAAGTCATAGAATCGTAGCAAATTATCGAGCAATCTTTAATGATAAAAAACTCTAATATTTTTAATAAATTTTATATTACAAATTTATTTTTATATCTTAAAGATAATAGTAAATAATACCTAAATGGAGAACTGTGTTAATTAATTTTTTAATAGAAATAAATTCGCAAATTTCATCTTTAATTTAAACAAACCTGCTTTTCCCACTTAAATAAACTTTATTAACTCTTTATATTTTTATGTCTTTTTGTGTTTAATTGGTAAATCAAGACAATATTGTTTGCAAAATTTTTCTTTTACATTATAAACACTTGACAGTTTGACTTTTTAACAAAATTAGCATAAGTCTTTCATTTGTTACTATTGCCATACACATTGATGAGTGTTATTGTTAGAGAACATCTATTTAAAAAATTGAATAAATATTGGATAATAATAAAAATTTGCTGAGTAATTGTTGGCTGAAAGTCGAGAGAGACTTGTTAACATCTTATATTACTTTTTCAGAAATTATGTTATCGGATCTCACCGAAGTGCCGTCCATAAAAATCGGCGACTACACGCTCCAGTTCGAGCTGGGTCCTGCTAATCCGGAATTGCAAGAAGTAGCCAAGAAAGAATTAAGGGAGTCTCCCGAGATACAAAAGCAGTCAATCGCGCGCTTGCAGGAACTATTAAAAGGTAACGCGAGTTAAATATAAAAAAAAATCCAATGAATTAACGTAAAAGATCATGAAATACAAAATGAAGAATATAAAAGCGAGATATAAATTGTTGTAAATGTCAGTACGTTAAGCGCATGCTAAATTCAGTGCTATTGCTGTAGCAATCGATCTTTAAAATGCTTAAAGTAAATCGTACAGTGTCTCTCAGAGATGGCTAAGAAACATCTCCCAGAATCTTTTCAAACTTCTCAGAGACATTTTTCGCTAAATCATTAAAAATACTCTTCATCTGATAGGCGAGAAGGATCTGAAATGCCCTTTGGACAACGAGGCATGGTTGATCAGGTTTCTGAGGCCGTGCAAGTACTATCCCGACTCGGCGCTCAAGCTCATCAAGCACTATTACCAGTTCAAGGTGAAGCACGCGTCTTTGTACGACGATTTGAAGCCGAGCAGAGAGAAGAACATCTTCGAGCACAATATCCTGACTGTGCTGCCTAATCGCGACCAGTGCGGTCGACGTGTACTGATAATCGAGCTTGGCAAGAAGTGGAAGCACAACAAGTGCAGCCTCGACGAGGTCTACAAGGGATGCGTGCTGTATCTGGAGGCGGCTATGCTGGAGCCGACCACGCAGATCGCCGGCGCGGTCGTCATCTTCGACATGGACGGCCTTAGCCTCCAGCAAACCTGGCAGTTCACTCCGCCGTTTGCCAAGAGAATAGTCGATCTGCTTCAGGAGGCGATACCTGTGAGGGTCAAGAACTTACACGTCGTGAACCAGCCGGTTATATTCAACATGGTGTTCGCTCTGTTCAAACCGTTCCTGAACGAGAAGTTAAAGAACAGGGTGAGTACACTATGAATCCCAATAACGCCTGTTTCCACCACTGTGGATTAGTTTTAATTTCGGTTCAACTTAATCTTCCTTCTTTAAATCTGATTCTAGTCACTGATTATCAATGGTTACTTCCTGAATGCTTCAGTCCCAAGTATGTCACTGGTAATCAGTGCAGAAATTCAACTTCATTGTCTCTCGGAAATCTAATAAATAAGTAAATAATCGCTACAATCGTTGACAAATCGGTGGATTTCGCTGTTCTCTAAATGCACAGCGAATTTGGCTCTGTTTTATTCATAGCAAAGCGAGGCTTACTAACTCAATCAGTGACTGATTGTGACTCTCACTGATTCAGATTTAGAGAGTTCATCTTTTTCTAAGTTCTAAGAATTAAGTTGAACTGAGATTAAAGTTAATCTATTCATGCATGGAGACACAGTCATGAGCAAAATGTTAGCAGAGCTGCTAGCTACATATACCAGCAGTTTGTCAGCAGATTCTAGCAAGATATTCAACGTCAGCATAATCTGACAGCAGATTGTCAGCAGGAAGCGAGCAGAAGCTCTTAACTATTTCATAATCATTTAAATATAATACATATCATATTTAAATGGCACTAATGGCAGGAAGCGAATAGAAGCTCTTATTTCGTAATCATTTAAATACATACATCATATTTAAATGGTTACGATATATTTTGCTCGATTTTTGCACTCAATCTGCTATCGCATTCTATTAACAGATTTTATTATATTTCTACCGACGAAATTGTAGCGGACGCTTTGCAAAATCTATTTACGAAACATATATACATTCGGCTATCTTGAGATATCAGATTTTCACGATCGAAGGAAGACTGGTAGAATTTATCTTTCTGAGTATCGAGCTTTCACGATTCGATTTGCACGAAACGATTTTTATATTTCCTTCTTTTTTCTCTTCCGCCAGATAATCTTCCACGGCTCCGACCGCAAATCGTTGCATCAGTACATATTGCCGAAACATCTGCCGCCGCAATACGGCGGTACGTTGGAACTAAAATTGATAAGCGGACCCCAATGGTACTCGTTGCTGGTAAACTTGGACAAGGAATACGAAGGTACGTTCAAAGGGAAATTACATCACTCGTCTCTTGTATAATGGTAGCGAAAGATAACGAAATTGAAAGTTCAAAAGCTGGTTGAACGTGAATGTATAATCCAGTGAAACTTTTCGCTAAGAATCTTTTTTTCTATTACAGCTATCTCTTCGTACGGCTACAAAAAGAAATAGTTTCTCAGTTACTGTCTTCCTCGTAACAAAAAATAGGTAATTAGATTAAATACGGAGGAACAATTGTAAAGCGACATTTTCGAGAAATGTTGGGTTTAATATCTCAATTATGACGATTGTGGACCATTCTCAGTCACTCGTCGAAACGTCCTTGATGAAGCCTTGCTCACGTTGTAAATTTATTGTAATTATATTATTATATATAGTTTTTCAATTCTCATTTCTTTCTTTTCAATAATTTCGAAAAATTGTATTAGATAAATATTGCAACGTTGTAAAAGAAGCGACGTAACCATTGATGACGATTACAAACGTATTTTCGTACTTCTTTAAAATCTTGATACGGTAAAAATTGTACTTATTCTCTAGTATAAATTAAATATCAGAATTAAATATCCAGAAAACACCAAATAATACGTAACGTACTTGTTAGTGTAATTTCCCACTCAACGATATAACTATAATATAACATGTTATATATTGTTTGAGTGAATTGTACTTAAAGATACAATCTATAGCTATTATAATATATCTTATGTAGGTAAATTACAACTAACAGGTGCGTTAATTATATATTATTTAATATTTGCTGGGAGTAATTTTATTTCAAAT